GGGACATAGCAACACAAGGTGAAAGGGTTCAATCTTTACTCAGCTGGAGGGACCCTAGAGCCACCAGCCTTTTCATAGTGTTCTGTCTTGGCGTTGCTGCTATGCTATATGCTACTCCTTTCAGAGTGGTGGCTTTGGTTGGAGGTTTATATTATTTGAGACATCCAAAGTTCCGCAGCAAGCTACCTTCAATTCCTGGCAATTTTTTCAAGAGATTGCCTCCTCAAATAGATAGCTTGTTATGAGTTATGATGTTAAACTGTGTCAATATTTAAGCCATATGTATTATACTTTGAAGCTTTTATTGTCATTGTCATAACAATAGGGTACAAAATCCATGGCCATGTTTGCTTTTGTAACAGTTTCTTTTGGCCATGGTTTTACATCATAAAATACTAAAATTTGCAATAAATTTATGAATTAAGCTTGTTTGGCTAAGTGTGTGCTTGGGTGCTTGTTTGGCTAAGTGTGTGCTTGAATTTAGCACCCAAGAACTCTTCCAATTTGGTCTATTTTCTCTTCCAGTTTCATCAATAATAGTTGTATTAATTCTTTCAATTTCATCAATAATATTGTATGATCATTAAAATATCTAGTTTATAAAAAGTTTTTATTACCTCATAATGTACCATATAAACTATAACAAGTAAAACCCATCACTAGCAAATATTGTCTTATTTAGACTTTACCTTACGAGTTTACCCTTAAAATTAGAGAAGTGCTAGAGAGAAGTTAGAAGTGCTAGAGAGAAGTTTCTATACACTTATATGATGAATGTTTCATTCTCTTCTACATCTATGTGGGATCTCACAATCCACTCCCTTGGAGACCCAACATACCCACTGACACAATCCACTCCCTTGGAGACCCAACATATCCACTCATAATCCACTCCCTTGAAGACCCAACATACCCACCGCCACATCGCTCAATGTCTATCGCTGATACCATTTATAACAACCCAAGCCTACAAGTGGTTATAATCCTCTCTTTGGACTTTCCTTTTCAAACTTCCTCTTTTTCTTAAGAGGAATGTTACATTCTCTCCAAGTGATTGTGGGATCTCTTTTCAAATAGTTCTCTCAAAGTATTTCATCAGCTAGAAGCTAGAAGACAGTGATCGCAATGGAAGAAAAATTACATACCATATCACTATCAGAAGTCAAAGAAAGCTACATGACGCAAAATTTGATGAAAAAAGTTCACTGCAAAATTCATTGCGAGACATAATTTCAAATCTAGAATCCTCATGACAAAACATGAACAAGAAGATTGTTGGAATCAAGTCAACAAGAAAAGTATTGGCACCGAGGAGAAAATATCTAGAAAACAAGCTCGTGCGGTTTCATGCCAGACTTTAGAGAAAACCTTGCAGCTAAGTAGGTCTTTAAATATGAAACTGCCTCAATGGACTTTAGCAGAGCTGAGTCCACGGCCTTCTGATCATCCTTTTTGTCCTGTGGGAGTGCGCTTTTTTCCTACAAGTATCATGGTGGCAAGAAATTAGGATAAAGAAATTATAACAATCCATGTACTAGAGCCAAAAAATGATGGAAAACAGATACAAACCTCCTTCTCTGCTTCGAAAAATTCTCCTTCTCCCTTCTTTTTCTTCTTCTGAACTTCCTTGGAGAAATATTTGTCATCAAACTTCTCCACATTGACTCCTGCAAGGTCCACCTTGGTGGAGGTCGCGATCACGTATGACTGATTCACACGCCTCAATGGGACACCATTGACCTTGAATGGTCCTAAAATAACAAACTTTAAACTTAGATAATCCCTAGCAGGTTCAAGAATTGGAGATTTAAAATCAAAGACATTGGCTAATCACTATTTAATATGCATCCTTTCTCCCTGAATATAAAACAACAATCCACCAAACTCCTCCGAAAAGCAAGAGATCAAGGATACGTAGCTCAGAAACTTGTGACTATTGGCAGGGCATATTGGCGGAATGCAAAGCATGAGAAGTTTCAATATTAATCGGTTGCGAGGTTAAACTATTAATGCTGCCAAAATGCAAATCACAAGAATACTACTTTTTAGTTCTCAAAGGTAAAGGTTATGCAGCCAACACATTTAAAATCATATGTAAACCTAAGGCATGATGCAAATCTAACACAAGTTCACAATGAATGTAGAAAAAATAAAACTCAATTTTCATGAAAAGATAATAAAACACTTCCCAGCCCCCAACACAAAGCGATGGTACGTAAAAAATCACAAGGAAAGGTGATTAGAGAAAACCGCCAAGCCTCACCAGTGACTAAGAGCAACCCAGATGGAAGTTGCTTCAAGAACACAACTCTCTTTCCCTTGAACCTTCCAGTAAGAATGATAAGCACGGTTCCAGGTGTAATGCTAGACCTGCAAATAGTACAAAATTGACAAACTAAGTTATATGAGTACACCCCACATAGAATTCATTGAACTGAACCAAATGATCATTATTTGGAACATGATCAGCATTACTACACTTCAAGCAGTCCAAACCATCGGAAACCCGAACACTCAAATCAAGGTGTAAGAAAAGTCTTATCGTTTAAGGCACTTATTTGAATGTAAGCATCCCCACTTATTCCTAGGTATAGCATGAACTTCATTTTTTCTAATAGCAGTTTTCTTTTTAATCTCCTGTGCTATAGGGCGCGACACTACCCCGTTTATATTGTAATTCGTGTAATCAACTAAACTGGCTCCTATCCCCCCAAAAACTCAAATCGAGGTTTTACTGTTTTCAACCCACAGAACACTCCAATTTCTCAGTTCCCAACCACAACAAAATTAAACCACATCAAACAGATACGTTCCAAGACACTGCAATAAACATCCAAAGAAAGAACATTGAGAGAGATCGACCTAAGTTTGGTGGGCTTAGCCTTGCGCTTGTTGACAAGTGGTTTCTTGACATCGTCAGCAGGGTAAAATTTCGGCGGCTTCTCAGCTGGTGCGTCGGTCTTAGGCTGGGCATCGTGGCGAGGGAAGACACCTCCATTTTTGGCCTTGATTGCCCAAAGACCTCGCTTGTGGTACATCTTCGACCTCGAATATTTCCCAACCCCTCGAATGAGATCGGGGTTTCTGCTAACTCGTGCTGTCTTCGGAGCCATTGATGAAATTCTAAGAGTTCGGCGGCGGCAGCAGTGTCGTCTCCTCTCCTCCTACTCGCCGAAACGCTTCGGGCATTCAAAGCTGTAGACACATATATATTCGATATGAAACCCTAAAATTAATGGGCTTTATTTTTCCTTACAAAAAAAAAAAAAAAAAAAAAGGCCTTGATGTTTTTGGGCCTAATCATAGGTAAAATTGACAAAACCAATAAAAATATAATTTACATTTTTAAATTAATTCTTATTTAAAAAATATAAAACATTTTAATAAATTCATTAAATATTTACTAAATAAGTAAATAAATTTATATACTGAGGCAAGAACGTGGATTAAATTCTCGTCTAACAACATTTAATTAATGGAGAGAAATTTCTCAACATTTTCTTTTTTCATTTTCGGTCGGGATGCTCCCTATTAGACTCAGCCCGTAAGCGAAATGGGCATCTCCAACAATAACTAATGAATTAAACAAGTATAGGGTTAGAATTTGAATTCTTGCGACACGATAATAAAAATTTATCATTCAATCCTAAGTCTCGTTTACTTGCTATAAATCATAATGAAATCACTTTAAACATAAATATTTACTCGTGTATTGTTTATTAACCGTTGTCTTCAAAGATAGTAAAACAAATTAAATAATGTTAGTATTTTTTGGCAAGTTAAAATATAAACTAAACAATATGTTACAAAAAAATTAAAATTAAAATACAAATTACTATAAAATATTTACGTTAAACCCAATGTTATTTTCTTTCATGATAAAAAAAAATTTATATTTGCATTTTATCTTATATTAAAATAACAAGAATAAGAATGAATTTGACCATACCAATATGGCTTAAAATTAATTTTAATAAAACGTGAATTCCACACAACAATTAAACTTACCAAATAAACATAAATTTGTTAGGTTTTGTTCTAATATTAAAAAAAAAAAAACATATTTTTGTCTGTACGTTATTTTTTTTTTTACCTCATATTTTATCAATTACTTTTGTTTCTAATGTAATTGATTTGAAATTATACTGGTATCACGGTACTAATTAAACTAATTAGAATACTAGTAAATAAGTCTATCAAATTTTAAATTTTAAAATAAAATTATTGGTAAAAGTATTTATTTTTTAAAAGTTCAAATACTAAAAATAAAATTTAAAATTAATCGACTAAATAAATATTGAAAAATTAAATGAACGAAAAATCGAAGAAACTCAAAAGTTTGACAATGAAAGTATAATTTAAACCGACATAAAAATTTTAATTATATCAATTTTAATATGTTTGGAAGTGAAACTAATAATTATATCAATTTTAATTTTAATATGTTTAAGTTATATATTAATAATTTATAATTATTTTCCATTTGTAACATTCAACAACATTATTTTCCTCTCACAATTACACCAAAAATTGCAACAAAAAAAAAAAAAAAAAACTTATTGATTAAAAAATTGGTAATTGATACATTATTATTTTTACCCATTTAATACACATCTACGAAAAGAAAGAAATTTACCCCAGCAGCCACCTTCCTTTGCTTTACTCACGGCCACCGTAGTCGCCGCCCACTGCGCCGCCGTATACGTCCTCCGACGTCCGTGCCATCTCCGGCTATTCGGTTGCTTCTTGTTATATTAATAAATCAACGAATCAAACCGACCGGTTCGGCTTTTATTTTCAAAACCGAGAAAATTGGTTCGATTCTCCTTTAACCCGGTGATGGTAAATTTACCAACATTGTAGGGACAATTCCGTCAATATTGAAAGAAACTGCCACGGTGTTTTCGGTTGCACGTGTCGACACGTATGATCTTTCTAATATTCGCGCTGACAATTTGGCGCCAGTTTTAATTTCCCGCGCCTCTTCTTCTTCGCCTACTTCATTGTCAGCTAAACCCTAAACTCCATTCATTTTCATCATCGAAAATCTCTGATTTTCTGAAGTGCGTCGGAGTCCTTCGCTTTCCGGCGAGAAGGTTTTGGTTCCGAGGAATAAAAGAAGAAAATGTTTTACTCGCACACGCTGTTGGCTCGAAAGACGCCATTGGGGACTGTGTGGTGTGCTGCTCATTTGCAGCACCGTCTCAACAAGAAAGACTACGAGAAGACTAAAATTCCTGTCGTCGTCGGTCAGTATCTTATTGTTCATTTTGAATATCCGATGCTTTTGTTCTTGTATTTTCCCAGTTCGATCTGAAGTTCTTTCTTTTTTCAATCAAATTGGAGAAAAATTGTTGGGTTTTCCATTGAGGGTTTCTAAAGTGATTGAAAATCTCAAAGATTCGCCATGGTGATTTTCCATTTGTATCTTCAAGGTGTTGGTTTTCAAGTGCATGTATGAGTTTTTTAATTTTAAGAGTGGCTGATATATGATTCTTGTCTGGAATGGATACCTTTTGTAGATGCCATTATGTTTGGTGAAGTACCGCTTGCCCTGCGGACGTCGAGCTACCTTCTGTTAGGTGTCGTGCGGATTTATTCAAAGCAAATCGACTATTTAAAACATGATGTTGATGTTTTAGTGATGGAGTTACGAAAAATGCATACGCAAGCTTCGGCGAAACTCACTTTGCCTGAGAATGCTTATCAGGCACCGTTTCATTCTATCACTTTTCCTGAGACTTTTGATCTTGATGCTCTGGAATTGGACACTGATATTTATTACGATGGGTAATGGAATTAGATTCCCCAACTTTTTGATTGATTTGAAATCTCTCTGACACGATGATTTTGTTCCTACAGGATTCCAGATACTCATCTCAGGAGCGAGGAAGAGATCACTCTAGCAGGTTTAACACTGATTGCCTTTCACATGTACCCCTACCCCAACCGAATATGTATGGACCTAAAAACCAACTAAACTTTTTGCATTGCAGATCAAATTTCTATTGGAAGAGATGCTTATGTTGCTATAACTTTCGACGAGGTTGCTTTTTATCTACATTAGTAATTGTCAAGTTTTTTTCTTTGTACTTTATCTATGTTGATCATCGTGATTAAAATTGCTTACTTTTGTACATAGGACGTTATGCTGGATTTATCACATCTTGGAGAGGATCCTGATTTGGGCTTCAGGCCAATGGAAGAGGAGTAATCTCCCTGATTCCGATGCCCGGTCTCTTTTTCGTGATCAATTATTGTACCACAACCAGGCTGACTGTTTATATTTTGTCTGCAGCGTGATCTCTCCTCCTGTGGATACTACTATGAACGTTGAAGGCACAGTCGGTAATGAAGATATACTTAACATGAGACTTGATGAGGACAATGTGCCACAAAGTTTTCCAAGAGTAGAAGTTTCGGATCCTATGGATGTTCAAGATTTTGGTCCAAATAATCAGAGAATGCGTGAAGATGATAACTTGTCACCAAATGTTCCAGAAATTGAAGTTCTACGAGAGGCAGTCCCTGATTTAAGTCCAAGAGATGTTCCTATGGAGCCTTCACTTGGTGGTGATCACATGTCTGAATCACACTGTATTGTAGATGAGAATATAAGTCAGGGAAATCTCTTACCAATCATGGAAGATAATATGACTCTTCCAAAAACATCATTACAATTTGAGCAAAGTGCAGGACTTCCAACTTCTGCTACTTCGCAAGAGGCACTTAATATGATCGATACGCATATTTCATTTAGTAAGTTCAGTTCTAATTACTCCATATTTTGAGTTGAATCTAATTGGTGGTAAATAGCTAACGATATTTTGTTTTTGGATGCTTTCTTCCGTGTGTTGCAGGACAATCTCCTGAGGAACTTGTTCTTCAACCCACTCCTCCACAACCGCCAAGGCCAAGATCAAGAAAGAGAAAACAGTTCTTTGACAAGTCTACTGTATTGACTAACAAGTATGTTTGTGATATCTATCATTTAACTTTGTGTTTATTGTAACCATTTATTGATCTAGAAAGTTGTGTTGCAGGTCTATGAAAAAGGCTCTCGAAGATACTAGTGATTTGTTGCGTGAGAGGAGGAACACTCCAAGCTCTTCTTTGGAGGTATGGAAGTTCAACAACAGGTTGAGAAAAGAAGACGTTTTCTATCATCCTCACGTCACTGGTAAGTGATTTTTTGGTGTATTTCGTTTTTCTACTTGTTTATGCGTTCCTTTAATATCTGAATGAAACTGAAAATCTTATGCAGGTCTTTGTCATGATCTATGTGATATTTTTCATGTGAACTACATTGCTAAGAAATGTCGTGCAACATCCTTGGAGGAAGCTTCCGGGGATCTTGGGGATGCGAGAAACATTGCTTCGACGAGTGAAACTTTCTTAGGCCAAGCAGATGCTCCATCTCCAGCTCTAGAAGCTGCTTCTCCTCCACATTCCGGAATTCCACCCTCTGTTGATCCTGCTAGAAACATTGCTTCAGCAGGTGAAATTTTTTCGCCCCTTGTACCATCTGCCCCATCTCCAGCTCAAGAAGCTGCTCCCTCACCACATTCTAGAATTCCATCCACTGTCGATCCTGCTTCTGCTTCCTCTCCTGGAGTGGAGATTGAACATCTCCGTGATGTTGAGGGCAATCGGGGGGACGATACCTTGGCAGATTTAATTGCTTCTCCAACAAGGTTCATGCCTTCTCCTAGGCCTTCTGAAGGCTTAGGTTCACCATCAGTAATGATTGGATCTACTGGAATGCTGTCAACACCTGGACAAGCATCAACTGAACCTTCAAGATCCATGTTTGAAACTCCCGGAACAATGGACGAGGGACTGGGTGCAGAAGATATTACACTCTCGGATATTCCGGAACAGAGAAGTCCTGCAGACGAGGTAGGTCTTTCTGTTAATACTATTGCTTCATATTCTTCAGTAAGTTACCACTAGAATTCGATCTTCCTTCTTTTTATCAGCAGAAAAGAGGACAGTGCAAGCATGAGTTCAGTGCCCTAAAAAAACTTCACATATTACTGATTTTATTATCAAACGTGAATTCACATATTATGTTATATTACTGCCATAAAAAATGTTTGAGTTAAAGTAGTGTTGATTAAACCATTTAAAAATTTCTCTGAACATTTCTTCATTCTTCAATTCAGATGTGAAAATTGTAAGCACAGTGAAGTTCTAACTTGTTGAGATATTTATTGTAGGATCTTTATTTCCTGGAAGCAGATAGCTCACCAGCTGGTAGATCAAGTAATGCCGTACTTCCTGTTATTATTCAGTTGTTTCCTTTAACTATATTTCTTGGGTGCATTATATAACTTGGGATTCCTGTTTTGGTGTTGGGGGTAATGTGCTTCTACAGGGTCTCAGGGAACTCAAGGTGTCGACTCATTGTCCGTGAGAACGAGGTACTTTTCTATCATTTGCTTTCCGACCCTTTTCATTAATCATAGTGTAATTTTAAAAAATAGTGAGGGAGGCCAAGAGCCACAAAATGACCAAAGTCTACAAAAAGTTGAATGTTTCTGAGTACTCCAAATGACTTGTTATAATTGTCCCTCTTTTGCGTTTAATGTAAACAGGGCTGTAGGTCGGTATCTAAGGAGTCTTTCTCCTATAAAATCAATCTCAGACGACTCAACCCAAGAACTCTCTTTGAATGACATTCTAGAAGGAAAAAGAAGAAAGCTAAGCGCACGGATGTTATACGAGACTTTGGTAACGTTTTCAAAACTTCCAAAGATTATTTCAACTCTCCCCCTTCCCCCACCACATATAGCTTAAAAGTTTGCTTTATTTTATTGACATTAGGTTTTGAAGAGCTATGGACTTATTGATGTACAACAAGATGAACCTTATGGGGACATCCGTTTGAAATTGACTCTAAAGCTTTCTATGGCTCAAATATAGCACACATTATATATTTGGGTAAGGTGTGCATTGTATTTACTGGTAAGGATCTTACTGCACCTCCCTGCTTTCTTTGTTATAGCATCCACCCTTTTCAGCTTAGTCAGTGTCTTAGCACATGCTTGCTTGTCTTTACATCTATAAGTACCGCTGATCTTAGAGTGAAACCTTGTTTATGCTGCCTATGCTGAAGCTGAATCTTTATGTAGGTTAGGTTGCAGAAGATGTCCGACCTCGAGGTAGTTCTTTATGTACATTTTCTGGGTTGCAAGAGGAGTCGGAAAGTGCATTTTGTTCATCAGTGTAACAACCAAATTTTTGAACCCTGTATAGATATATGCATGGTTTAGTTGCGAGATGTGTAGTGAAATTATCTTATGGCTAATTATCTCTATTTTGTAAATTATATCAGAATTAGTACATTTGCCACATGTAGAATAAGTCTCTTGTTTCGGTTTTGTTAAGATCAAGGACTTTGTTAGATTTGACATTCTTAGTGCTTAAAAACAATTTTTCTTCTTTTTAAAATATTTTCAAAGCATCGAGAAAGTCGATCCAACGGTTTTGTAGGTTTTGTAGAGTAATGACCATGTAAGCTATAGTGGGGTAGCTCAAGTATTTATTTACTCCTTGTAGTGAGGATGTAAGATCAGCCTGTTCTACAAAACTTGGTATGAACTTTGCCTAATGTATATGTATTCAGATATCATCTTTCTGTGAGCTCCAAATAAAAAATCAATAGAACGTTCTTGATCGCCAATAAATGTTGTTTAATTGGCCAACCATCTTTTAATCTATTTTTTAGATTCGTGATCTTGAGTTTATAATGTTGTATTAATTGAGTCGGCGAGTAAGTTAATATAATTTAACAACAAATACTAAGCAAAAAGATTAGATTTATGACTCCGCCAGCCCTTTTTATGATGGGAATATATCTTCACATTTTAATTTTTATATGTAAATATGGGTTACAAAAGATTTCACACATTTTCTCTCTATAAAAATATACAAAAATGCTTAAATTTCAAGTGTTTTCTTGAAACAACTATTGTGTAGAAATTGTTGGAACAACGTGGGTGCGTTGGGATTTCAATTTTTGTTTTAGATCTTAGTTTGGTCCAGTATTTTAACAAATTTATTAAATAATTTAATTATTTTTAAATGGATATTTTTTAAACCAACTATAAAACTAAGTTTTTTTTTTTGGTTAATTTTTAATAACTTAGCCATAAATATTTATTAACCATTTGACTCCATTTAATAATTATTAAATTTTTTAAAAATTAAACTTATAAATATTCCTCAATTCGTTCACTTATGAATTTCTTATCTTTGTTATTTTATATTTAAAAGTATTTTTAAAATCTAATTTTAGATTTGAAAAAAAGAAAAAAGATTATGGAAAAGAATTCAAAATTTTGAAAATAAATCATTTTCAAACGAGCCGAAAATCGAACCCTCCGTCGGTTCGGTTCGGTTCGGTTCGGTTCTTGGTTTAGGCAAAAACCGAAAAAAAAAAAAAAAAAACTGAACTGATAACCCAAATTCGGCGGCTCCATCCTTCCTTCCCTTCCCTCTCGATAAACCCTTTCCGTTTAAATCCTTAAACCCTTCACAAGTCGTCGATTCCTCAATGCCATTCCTTTTCTAGCTTCTCCTTTTGCAATCCAATTACAATGGCTGTAGATAAGGAGAAAGTAGCCGAAGAATCTGTTACCAGTCGTTTGTTCAAAATTATTCTCAGCTGGGACTATTTCCGGCTCCTCAAGGAGTCCAAAGTTGGATTACTTATACTCAATTCTCTGCTGTTTATTTATGGTTTTTGATTTTGGCTTCGTTTTGTTTACTTTTGATCTTCTTAATAGCAAAAACGCAAGGATGATGGAGGTGCAGCGTCATTGGGTTTGAAGGAAGTGAAATCTTCGTATAAAGATGTCGACGATTATATCTCTACTTTTGAGCCGCTTTTGTTGGAAGAAATCAAGGCTCAGATTATTCAGAGGAATGACGACGAAGATGGTATTTGTTTCCCTTATGCATTAGACTAGGTCGGAAAACTGTTGAATAAGGAATTGCAAAAGGAAGAATTATCCTTTTACGTTTTCTGGTTTGAGGTTGTATGATTTGTAATACTCCTCTGTATCACTTTTTTTTTTTTTTTTACATTTTAGCACTTGGGATTTGCAGTGGCGGATTGGAAGTTCAGGGCGATCATGGACTGCAGTGAAGTTAATGGATTTCACTTCCCAGAGATAGTGTATCTCAGAGACGAGGACATAAAAGATGAAGATGGCGAAAAGGCTGAATTCCTATCACCAAATGATCTTTTGCTTCTCTCCAAGGAGAAGGTGAATGGACAGAAAAAATTGAGTCTAATCTACACCGAGTTTGAAAAAAGAAACAGGAAAACTAAATGGGGGAATAGAACGAGCATATAGCTAGCTAACATTTGCAATATTTAATTCTGTTCTGAATCCTCCCTGGATGCTTGAATTTGTATGGCTATTAAAATTGGTTTGTAGGTTTTAGTTCTTTTTATGGTTGACATCCATGTATATAATGCAGTTTCAGGAAAATGCAAAACTACCCACCACATATGCCTTTGCATTAGTGGAAAGTCGCCAACATAGTAAACTCAGGCTTAGAATGTATCTGGCTGGAGAAGTCACACATAAAGGCGTAGAGGCAATTGTATCTTCTCCAAGGCTTCTGAAAGTGCGGTCTCATATTACTTCTTCCAGCAAAGATGGAATATATATTTACAGTTTAAAGGTAAAAGTGTCCCCTGATTGGTACTTTCTGAAAGTTTCTGCACAGAGTTTCTTCCCTTCTCGTTGCCAGTTTTTGTTGTTGATGGTTCCTGATGTTTCTAAATGCTCATGATATCTCTTTCTTATGCTTATAGTAACTATAATGATTGGTGAAACTTGTATAGTTTTTCAAGGTCGGGCCCTCACCCAATATTCATCAATGAAATTTGTTTCTTATAATTCTTTTAAAGCCCAAATTAATTTGTTGTACTATATACTATAATATATTCTTGCCTTTTCTTTTATATTTTCTTAAAGAAAGTAGTTCGTATAAAGAATTTCTGTGATTGTTTTAGTACCAAAGAGTATTTCAATTCTTTAGTTACTTCCTCAATCTTAAGTTGTTTATTTGATTTATTAGTGTTGATACTGGCAACGAAATAGTTCTCTTGGTTGTGGTTAGCTTTTCTAAGCAAATTTGTTGATTTTGCAGATTTGCAGTTTATCGACTATCATTCGTGAATATATAGCATTGTGGTCTATTAGTTCTTTACCTTTTAGGGATATGATACTAGCAGCTGCTGATAAGAATACTGGTGAAGATCAAGCCTGGAAAATTTCCAGATCATTGCAGGATTATATGCGAGAAAATCTTAATGAATCTCAACAGGCAGCTGTACAGGTCAGTTAAGTTGCAGTTTGATGAAGCCAAGTAGTAGTTCTGTGTCTGGTGTTTATTTTTCCCTACCATTGATGGTTTATTATTCTAAATTCATGACTGAATTCAAGTTCCTATCCCCCCCCTCTTTCTCCTGCTCTCTGATTTTTTTAAACCTTTAACAAGCTTCATTTATATCGTCTATTTTCTGAACATATATCATTCTTAATTGCAGGCTGGTCTGTCGCGTAAACCCTTTGTTCTCATACAGGTTCATCTTATTACATTTGCGTTCCTTTTATCTATAAGTTTACCTACTAAGAAATGTTATTGACCTGTTGAAGTTTGTATCAGTTATTTCTTTTATGGCGATTCATCTTTAGCTGAGATTGCCCTTGTTGTCTAAGAATTCAGTTTTACCAACTTCATAGAATCCCAAAATAAGGAAATAAAATTTATTAGATGCTTTTGGATTGGGGATGCTTTTAATTGGCAGATTTTTTGGAGTGAACTCATTTACTTGTTAATGTCTTTTTTTCTTTTTTTTTTTTTTTTTTTTTTTTG